GCCTCTCGGTTGTTATCATTAGATCACTGATATCAATAGATCACCAATATGACATTCTTCTTTCGTTGGCATTTTTCTTTCCCTGTAGCTAACGGTAATAGCGTTGGTAATTATCTGTCTTCATGAAATTCTAACTCGGATTATCGTCAGTGTTTGAATCAGGAGAAAGGTGAGGGTTGTGTGGTACAAGCAATAATGGTGATGTCGGATGTGAGGCGTGGACGGCGAAGCGTTGCTTCCAACGATCGTCTAAGACGTTTCACACAACCCTATCTCACGTCAGCACATCAACTCCAACCAAAACTAGTCAAAACAGTTCTCGAACAAGTGGACAGTGTCTATCGAATGGGTGCGTAAACTCTTTGCATTTCATCGAATTGTTTCAACAACTTCACAAATTCTTTGAATAAGTAGTATCTTTTCAATTGATTCAATTGTGGTTTACTTTACAGTGCAAAAACTAATTTTGGATCATCAGAGTGTTACGAGTGGCTTGTTTCCGAGATACTCGAAAGACCTCAATATCGGTTATGCGAAGGACAGTATCTATTGTGCACTAGCATGTTGGGCATGTTCAGTTGCTTACAAGTAAGTTTTCAAGCGGAAATAAATGATCGTTCGTTCTCGAGTTTATGCTCGGTTCGACTCGATTTCTGTTGGGTTTTGAATTCAATGAAGTCAGCGGCAGTGGTGTCTGAAAAGTTTTTGAGGTTTTCATGAAGTTTCTGGGGGATTTTCTTTTGAAGAAATTGCTGACCTCAAAAAGAAAAAGTCAAAGGAAATAGATTATTATAGACGTCTTGATGATGATCGCGGTCGTCAAACCGAACTACGTCAATCGGCAGTGAAGGCAATGCGTGGCATTATGTTTTCTTGGATGCAGCAGTTGGGCGCTGTGAGTTGTCGACTCTTTAATATACTTTTACGTATTTATCAGTTCTTGAATTGCTATTGTTCAAATTTACATTATGGAGCAATCATAATTTACACGTTAATGGTATGATAAAATGTTATGAAACATAAGGAATAATATGATAGAATCACTGGATAAAGATGAAATTGTTTTGAGAAGCATATGAAGATAATAAAAATCAAGATTCAAAAGATTAAATTGATTAAATCATATGATTCAATGGAATAATATGACAGAATCGCTAAAGATTAAATTGAATTGTTTCTGTCTTATTATTGAATCTACTGAAAAAGATTGCCGATTTTGCCATTGTTTTCCACTTGAGTATTTTCTAAGGTTATAATTTTTACTTTCCGATGGTGTTCCATTGGTTATGCTTTTGGGTTGTGAAGAGCGACATAATTAGATTTCATATGCGGTTGTATTTGTTGGTTTCAGTTGGACGAATTCAAAGACAAGAACTCACCAGAATGCGCTCTGCATTCACGTTTCGATCTGCACACAGGAATGGTACTGAAGTCACCAAATGATAGGGTAGGTTTTTATCTTACTATTGAATCCACTCATTGATCAGCCAAAATATTTCTCCACCTTTAAGCCAGTAACTGGGAGTTAATGTATTGTTTGATATTATAAGTATAATTTATTTGATATTACATGTATATATTTTTTGCATTAGACTGAGTTTTTATTAATTGATTAGTTATTCAGCATTTTGGTCATCTACAAATGGACTTGATAGCGCTTTATCTGCTGGCACTGGTGCAGATGACTGCAGGCGGAGTTCAGGTAAACGCTTTAAGAGAACAACAAAACTGCTTCTTCTATTGTTTCTGTCGGATTTGTTTCTGGAATTACTTTCTCGGATTGTTTAAATAAGCCTATCGATAAATATGATAGAAATGGATTTGTATATTGATGCGTGCAATATGAATAGTTTTGTGGAATAATTCATATTTATGAATAATTCAGTTACTGCTTGTCACTGACTTTGAAATGTATACACTCTCAGATAATCTACACTCACGATGAGGTGTGTTTCGTGCAGAATCTCGTCTTCTATATTGAACGTACCTATCGAACACCGGATTATGGTATGTGGGAAAGAGGCACTCGTTACAACATTGGTGAACGTGAACTGCATGCAAGCAGTCTGGGTATGGTCAAGGCTAGTTTTTGTCTTGAACAATTTTTTTTTTTTAAACTTTTTGAAGAGACCATCTCAATTTGTGAGATTTGTATGAAGATATGTCTAAATGATTATGCTGTTCGATGCTATTGAATGAAACAACTAGGTGTTTAGTGAACAGGTGTGGAGCGATGAAGTAGTAATTGATAAAATCNTTTTGTATCATATTTGAAACAGCGAACATACTGTACACTTAAACGAAGATATTATTATAGGCTGCTCTAGAAGCGATAAATGGTTTTAATGTGTATGGGGCATCAGGAACAAGTGCGTCGGTGATCTATGTGGACATTGATGGTCATAACCGCAATCGAACAACTTTTGAAACGATTCTACCGAGGGAGAGTAACTCAAAGGTAGATCCGTTGTTCATTACTCAAAGATATTATTCAGTAACTTGAAGATATTATTCTGTGAATTAATCTTCATTGTTTGTTTCTTTTATTGAAGTGTACGGTTTGATATTCGCGATTGAACAGTTACATATCAGTATTTGAATATTTGAGCAAAAAATGAGGTATTTTGAAGGATGGAGTGACTTAGTGGTATTATGTAATGAGTGATATTATTGCTGATTGCTGAGTTTGTAGAATACAGATGCGGCGTTATTGATAGCGGTCGGATGGCCAGCATTCGGAACACACGATCCGACGTTGTTCGAGAAGACGATCAAAAAATGTGTTCGTCGTTTGGAGGGTAAATATGGCATGAAGAGGTGCGTGCGTTGGGTTGAGAACTTTTTAATCTTTTATCATTATTATCTGTCTGATCAAACAACAAAGTATTCATGATGTGAGCTGCAAATTCGTGTGGAATTAACTTATTCAGAGCATCGAATTGAGCCTGTGCTAGATTATGTTTAAAATTGTGTTTGCTTCATTTTAAGTGAACTGGAATACATTCGTTGCTGTTGCATTCAACAGTTAGTTTATGAGCACAAGAAACTTTAAAATATTTTGTCAGTCTAGCAGAACTTTAAATATAATGGCGAATTATTTAGATTCTTCCGTGATGGTTATCACACAGAACTGGAAGATGCCTCGAAGCCATACTACGACGTGCACGAGACGTGTCGTTTTCAAGATGTTGAATGCCAGTTTCCGATGTTCTTCGCGTTTATGACGATCACGTGTTAGCGTTTTGACATTATTGTTCTCTTTTGAATTGTACTCTGATCACTTTTACTTTTTTTTCTTAATTTCAGCGCAACTTCGTGGCGATGAAGAGGCGGCCACGAAGTATTGGGAAAAACTGAGGGATCTGCTGGTTTCAACAGAGGACTGTAAGTGTTCAATTGGGTTATTCTGTGAATTCATTTTCGATATTTGTTTGGAATAATTTGGGAACTTTCACTTGCTATGAATTGCTCTGGAAGATTGTTTACAAAGTAAAATACTTTTGATGGATTCATTATAAGGGATGTTTGAGTTGGGTTATTACTCGAGATTTGAGCGATTTGCTATGAATCTGTGTGATGGCTGATAGATTGCAGGTAACCATTTGGTAGTACCGGAATGCTACATAATCGAAGAGGAGAACATGTTTGATGAACGTGAGAAACCGAACTCTCAAGAATTCTATGCGGCCAGTCCGAATGAATTCGGTCATCATCTCTGGTCAAATGCCGTCTACATTGTTGCGTTATTGCTGAGTGAGTGTTCCGTTGATGTGGGATTTTTTAAATCGTGTATTGGTGATGCGAACATATAGGATTAGATGGGGCATGAGGGAGAGTTTTAGTTCAGTCGGAAATATTTGTGATTAGCGAAGAACTCAATGACGGACGGGCTCACTTAGAAATGATGGTAAACTGATCGTCTCAATGAAATGTTTCATATAGGTTTCTCTAAGTTTGCTTTTTGAAATGTTTTGTTTTGTTGACACTCAATTGATCTGATGGTCTGATCTGTGAGCAGGAAATAAATTGGTGCATGTGAGTGATATCGATCCAATCTATCGTCATTTGCCGGCGAGTCAGAGACCATCGTATCCGAATCGTCATTCTGCTTTTCAGGTTCATCTTTAGCATGTTCTGAATGCTCTTTGATTTCATTTTTATGAACTTTTCTCCAACATTTAGGTATTTTGTTTTCAAAAGTTTTGATTTAGCAGCACTTTTTAGTTGCATATAATTTGACACTTTTTTTTAGAGACACAAACACTTAGTCCCGTATTTATGTACTGCAGCGCACATTTTGATATTGCACAGTTATTACCCTCAGTCACAACTTTAGCACCATTTAATTTGCATTTATCAGCGTTTGAAGTGATGGAGTGATATTAGGTTGACTTCACGAATCGATCTGTGATAATTTGAGTTATGAAATCGTAATTGTTTGAAAAGTTACTTTTAGATTCAGAATTGTTTCAGTATTGCGCAATTACCCTCGATCATTACTTTAGCACCAGTTGATTTCTATTTATTAGTATAGGAAAATGTGACGTGCACTGATTCATTTTCGAATGACTCGCATTAGTTTAGTATGTTTTATTGAGTTTGATTTTGTGAAGTGAAGTTTAAAAGATGTGAATAATGATAAGTGAAAAGTTGAAGTATGAGTGGAAATTTTTTGCATTCGTTTCTTCAGTTTTGTCTATTTCGATTCATTTTGGTTTGTTTATTTAGCGAGAAACGGATCGATCAGAAATGTCAGTTGTAAGTTGAGCATTCGTTCGTTTTTTCATTCATCGATTCATTGTTTTATCGATGTTTGCGATTTGTTTTTGGTATTGTATTCATCTGCGATTTGAGGAGTATTTTGGATGTTTTGTGCACAAAAAATTTAGCTTTTGGAACAAGAAATCTTCTTCGGATTGTTGTTGTTGTTTGTTTGTTTTGTCGTTCAGCTTTAACATTTCTTTGGTATTGTCATCATCTTTTGATTCGCTATTCTTTTATGATGATGAATTTAATTGTTCCTAAGCACTTGCTTTATGCTTTATAGCGTTTTTCAACTTTCATTAATATGCGAAGAATTTTTTGTTTGCTTTATGAGACTCTCTTTTTGATCTGTTTAGAATCGCTTTTGCTCAGCGACATTTTGTGTCAATCAATAATCGACGGAATTCTTATCACATTCAACTGATTTGAAATTTTCTATGCGCATGCTGCCAGTAGAAGATAGTGTTTTGGCGATTTTGTTGTGCAGTCGGAATTGGTATTGTTTTGTTGGGACGATATGGTGGGAGCGTTCTGGTGTGAGCGGGTGGATTTCAGGGCAGTATGGAGGGTAATCCGGTGGTGCAGGTGGCGCTTATTGCCGAATCGAGTCGTCTGCAGATGATGCTTTCGACCTATGGTATCAGCACTCAGACACCACACGAACTCGAACCGGTACAAATATGGCCGAGTTGGAAAATGGTCAAGGTGAGCTCGTAGTGCTGGTCTTCTTTTTGTTTTTGTTTTCGATCTGAGTTGAAGTTTAATGTTTCTTGAGTTTTCGGAAATATTGTCTGTTTTATGTATTGAGAAGTATGAATTGAAGTTTGTTCGTTAGATTTGAATGTGCAGTTTATATTAGTGAATTATTGCAGATTCGTTTGAATGACTATTTATTTATGAAGTGACCGTATTTTGTTTCAAATAAAATTCTGGTGTTAATCGGTAATGGATATATTAGTTAATTGTTGTTTGAGGTTTTGTATCATTCAGTTTTGTTCTTATTGTTTGCAATAATGGTTTGCCTCTATCAGGTGTTTGAATCGTTGGGAAAGAATGACAAGCTGGGATTGCGTGGACGACCACCGCGTCCATTCGGTCCGTTGAATACGAGTAAAATATTTAAATTGTTTGGCGATACGATTCTTTGTTATCCATTGCTATTCGAGGTGAAAGATTTCTACATAAACGCCGATCCGAGTGTGTTGATCAGTGATATTAAGGTGAGAAAATCTATTGGAAAGTATTCTTGGTGTTGTGTTCTGACTTTATTTTGCTTTTACGATATCCATTCAAACACATTGTTTGTGTCAGTTTCGTTGTTCTTCATATTTGATCGCTACTGGATATTTTCTTTTATATTTCAGTCAGATCTTGAGTTCATATCGAAACGTTGGAAATTGGCTGGTAGACCGACATTTTGTTTGGTGCTGCGCGAAGAGAACGTGAGCGGTGAATATTTTAGTCACATGTTGGACCTGTTGGTTTCGATGAAGAATGGCTTCGTGGAAGGTGTTCGTGTGCGTATCGGCAGAGTTCACGTATGCTCTCATTTGAATTTCATCACTTGTATTTTCGCTGGAAAGCATTTGCGAGTAATTTATTGGCTATTGCAGCAATTGCTAACAACTGGATGTACGGAACATGTGGATTTTGCGACGACAGAAGAGAGTGCAGCAGTTGAAGAGGACACATTCGAGGAACTTGGTGGTAAAACATCACAAATGATATCGCGCATATCGTTGCGGGACGTTATCGAAGAGGATACGACCAGTAGAGAGGTAAGATGTGAACGCATTAATTCAATGCTATTATCGAAATCACTTCCACGAGGTGCATGGATTCTTGAAATATTATTTATAAGATATTTTTTATAAGACATTGCAAAATTTTTTCATGCCATTTATATTCTGTAATTNGTTGTGGCTTTCGCAAATGCTGTGCTCAGTCGGCGACACGGTAACGACTTTCAAGTGGACGGAGGTAAGAGTTGTGGGTGTTTGAAATTTAGTATTTGATTTCGTTTCTATTTCATTTGGAGATGCGAGTAGATTTTGCGAATATGATCATTTGAAGATGGATAGATGTCTTATATGTGAGGAACATTTTAAGGATTGATGCAGTTGTTGTTAATGGAAGTGATTTCGATAATAACAGCTTTGCTTAGAGTGTCATAAGGAATAATAACATAAAAGTAACAATGTAAATGAGATATTTTAAGGTATTTAAATGTGAATTTTGCAGAAACACTGGCCATTCGTATGGAACGCGTTTATCGACAAGCATGTGCGTGGCGTTTGTGGTGGTTGGTTCGATTCTGTGCGGCGAAATTACGGAAAACAATGAATTCGTTGGCGCCTGGCATAACGAATATGCTTGTTCGCGGTAAACAGGTAGATTGAGACATCAAAACATCGATGATATCCCACGATTTTTAGTAGTTACATTATCATTGATGAAAGAGCGATTGTTGTTGTTTGCGATTGGACTCTCTGAAAGAATATGTCTGTGATTGATGGGGTGAAACATTCATGTGTTTAGCATTTTCGCAAGTGAGATGATTGAGAGTTCAGTGACGATATTTTGATTTTGTTGGCCGTTCGGCTTGATTTGACTTTATGCGAGACATTGTAGGTAACACTGGGTGTGCGTGGCTGTCGTGAAGTGACCGTTTCATCACCGGTGACGCCGGACGAGATAACGGATATTTTGTTCAGTTCGTGCCCTGACAACGAACCACAAGCGGCTGTCTTCCAGCAAGAATTGATTATCGCTTGTTCGAATTTGGTAAATTCAATTGGAATTTCATAAAAGCTTATTGTTTGAATTGTTGACTTTTTTTACTTGCAAGCGATGCATCGTTCAGATATAGGAGGAATAGATGTTGTATTCAAGAAGTGGAAAAAATTGTGTTTTCATTGTTTTTTGGATAGTTGAAATTATCAGATCAGTTTTTAGAGTAGCGATAGAGAAGATTTTTTATTGCGGATGGGGCAATTTGTTGGAGTGAAGTGATTGAGTGGAGGTGTTGTTTTTCAGATTTGCAAAAAGCCATACGCGTTCGATGGAGTGCTGACGATTCGTCTGTCGTGGCTTTCAGACGCTATCTCACTGATGCTCGACTATCAACATTCGGATAGTATTCGACATGCGAAACGACACTCATCCTCCACAACGCCAGTGCGTGCATCACGAATACCACACAGTCAGTTGCTACTTGACAAATATGTTTTGATTGCTTATTAGAAATTGAATATTGGTGATTCAATTCTGATTGCTTGATTTTGTTAATGTATCTATTATAGTTCATCTGTTATGTTTGTATATCTATTTATATGTATTCATCTAGTTCATATCTATTATGTTTGCAATTTAGACCTTGAAGCAATCTGTTTGAAATTCAGAACCTGAAACAGAATTGAGCACGAACGTCTATGATCTTTCACCGACGAAAGTCAAAGAGATGGTTGCTGCACTGTTGACTCGGAAGAACTGGCATTTGCTGTTAGTTCTATTATTTCTTGGTCTTTTGCTTAATTTGTTCTGTCATAAAGAGTGTATGTTCTAAGCGAGGAATGTCCGATTCCAGGACTCCACTTCAGTCACGACGTTTGAATGGTTCACTGAATCGTGTACCAACGAATCTTTACGATAGTGTTTGGATGATTTTGGAGCGTACCGCAGGTGGTTTAATTATTGCTGGACACTACTTACCGCAGGTGAGCGCATGCTTTCGTTTTGAATACAGAGAGAGTTGTCATTTTGAATAAGCCAGCAGATAAAGTGATTGCTGATGTTGAGCAGTAAGGATTGTGAATTGTCCTTTCGTATCTGACGGAATCGTTTCATCGTTAATAAATAGTATGAAGTTTCAGCAACCAACATTGAGCGATATGACGCAATTTGAGTTGACGTTTGCCTATAAGATCGAATCAATGATGAGCGTTATAACGCATCCAGAGTATCGTCAAGTACTTGTTGAGGTATTGCACATTAATTCTCTTCTGACACTGAGTTTAGATTTGGCCTTGTTTGCGTGAATACGAATATTCAATCAGAAGTTGAATTGTTCATGGGTGAGTTTTGTTGTTGCGAAGAAGACTATCATTTGGTAGTCCAAGTTTGAATGTATAATGTCGTAGTAGAGGAAGACTGCTTAAAATTATTTACTGAGGGCACGTTTAGAGCATAAAGGATATATAGAGCGCCGATTAGTGAGTAAATTTTATCATTTCGATTGCAGTGTTTTTAAAGTTTTGAAATTGCAGTTGTTGTGTATTGTGGCAGTGATATTGGAACGGAATCACGAGTTGATGTTCGCGGGTAAACTCGATTGTGATCGCGTGAGTTGTTTGTGAAATTGTGTCAGTTTGCACCTTGTAATTACGCACGTTCTTCGACTTCCCGATAAGGTTTACGTCGAGTCCGTCGATATTCGTCGTTTGTTTAGAGCAGTTCGAATCAGTGTTTAACTTTTCGCTGAATATGTTGTAATGATAGTAGTGAGTGTCGATGAAGTATTTGACTGAAGATAAAGCAGTTCAGATCTCTTTCTCATTTAATGGCTAACAATAAGCAATTTTCAGTTGGTGAAGTCGGCGTTCTGTCGTTACTGCGATGATCACGGAATTGAGGAACGTAACGATATGACGCCGTTCTATCAGCTTGACGATTCGGATCTTACGACCAATTCGACGGCAAATTACCTTGCCCGAGTATGTGTTTGGGTAGATTCAATATTTCTAATTTTCAGTTTGCAGATAAGACTTGCGATTTTTTGAATTCGAATTGAACTGCGATAGTGTAGAGGAGAAAGGAGTTGACGTAAAGGATCGTTGTGTATTTCAGACTGTAATTGAAGTGTTGCTGAGCGGAACGATTAGTGGACGACGCAAGCTGAGCACATTTATGCCGTCCGACAAGCTGTCAACAGCGGATCGCCCTGATGAACAGATCAATTCTTGCGTGATTTCGTGATTTTGCTCACGATCAGTCTTGTTGAAATTGTTAGTCAATAATTGCTATTCTGAATATGTATAGATTTTGTTTTTATTAGAATGTGATACGAGAGTTTTGCCATCAAAAGAACTGAGATAATGCAATCGATGCCGTAGATCATCAGCTTGGGTCGTTTTTGCAGTTTGCATTCAGTTGTGATACTATGGAATTTTTTGTTACTTTTTAATTTTGTTATAATCAGTAATTGATTGTTTTTTGTATATATTCATGTTATAGTTGGTGCTAGGTGTTGTTTGCCTAATGTTAAGTGGATTAGACATGTTCGAGCCCAATAATAATAGTTTGTTGGTTTTGTGTGATTTATGCAATGGATATGTTTTTAGCTGATGAACAGCTGTTCACTGTACAGACAAGGGAATTCATTTGTTTAGTGTCGATTCTGATTTTGATGAAGTGATTTGACTTGTAATAGTGATGTATGAATCTAATAAAATCTATGATCGCAAATACGTATTAATGCAGTTTCAAACGCACATAAAGTTATAAACGGTCACTCGAAGAATCCAGCACAATGCTTAGAGTTGAGCAATACAGCAATTTATAGACACTGAAACAATGTTGGGAACTTTGAACTGCTTGCTCTCTATTGAGAGAAAACTGATTATTTCGATGAACATCAAATGTAAATGAGGATTCATTCGTCAGGAAGACGTCATTAATGAAAAAAATATCGTAATTAGCGAGTGCTGTCGACGAATGAAACAATCGTCTAGGTGAATGAAACGGACTTCGAGAACTGACGGCTACAACCTATATGCCTTGTACAAATACACAAAATTACTTCGTCACATAACGAATGATCGAATTTGATTGATCCGAATTTGGTCGCATATTGGAAACATTGGAATACTTTGGATATGACTTATTCGTGGCCTTAGAACCACTGAAATGTGAATAGATGGGCAATTGATACGTGAAAAGTTCACGTTTATCGAATATATTAGGTTATGTTCCATTAAATGGCAACATATCCGTTCTTGCTGGACAAGCCTTAACGAGTTCATCAGAAGAAATAAATATTTCGAAACAATAAATTCCATAATGCTGTCCATCTTTCGAGAGAAAGCGGAGTTTGGCTATCAGATGAGACGTAAACTTCTTAAGAATAACATCAAACGTTCAATCAAATTCTAATTCGCGTAGGTGAATGCGGTTAGTTGATGGCAACACTCTTCATTCTCTTATTTTCTGAGTATCGTTGGCTCGTCCGGGCCTAACAGGGTTTTTATTCGTTTTAACAAGGTTTTCATTCTTTTCCTTGCCGTTACAATCACTCTCATAGCTGTTATCATCGAAAGTATTCTCTTTTACTAATTTCTCATTCATTTCATTCATTAGTTAAAGTCAAATTCTCATTCTATCAAATACACTCTATAATTCATCATTTGACTGTCGAATGTTGCTGAGCAATGATATGCGATTGTTGTATTGTTGATTTCGGCTGTTAACACTCGTCAACGCACCCAGTAAATAGTATTTGCTACAGAATAAGAAATTGATTCTAACTGTGAAGTGAAATGAGACGAAGTGAATGAGAAAAACTCATCAAGTGAACAGTATTCGCATGAAATAGCTATGAGAGTGAATAGAACACGTCTGAAAAGAATGAGAATTCATTTGAACCAGTTTGAAGTGAGCGTGTCGTAGACAATAGCTTTTCATGCAATCATAAT